AGAGAGAGAGAGAGAGAGAGAGAGAGAGAGAGAGAGAGAGAGAGAGAGAGAGAGAGAAAGAAAGGAGAGAGAGGAGGGATTGTATGAGCGAGAGATGTTGAGATAATTGTTGGAGGAAGCACAGGGACATTTGTGGAAACTAGTGGAATCTCTTGAACTGTGAACCAATGGTTGAGGATCCCCCATGGAACTGGACTGGGCCCTCTGGATAAGTGAGACAGTTGATTAGCTTGAACTGTTTGGGAGGCCCCCAAGCAGTGGAGCCAGGACCTGTCCTTGGTGCATGGGCTGGCTTTTTGGAGCCTGGGGCCTATGCAGGGACACTTTGCTCAGCTTTGGTGTAGGGAGGAGGGGACTGGACCTGCCTCAGCTGAGTCTACCAGGCTGGACTGACTTCCCAGGGGAGACCTTGCCTTGGAGGAGGTGTGAATGGGGGGGGTGGATTGAGAGGGAGGGCTGGGAGTAGGAGGAAGGAGGACAGGGCAATCCATGGGTGATATGTGAAATTAAGTTAATTATAAAATAAAAATATTAAATAAAAAAAAAGACTATGAAAGGCAGCTGATTGAACGCTGCTTGTGAGGACTGTGTTTTCAGATCATACCCTGAGAAGAAAAATTCACCTTTGATAGGAAATTTAAGACAAAAGACTGATACTTTTACAGGACTTCTCAAAACACAGATGTAGCAACTTTATACCGCGCTGATTAGATGGTATCTAAATTTCTCACAAGACTATGAAAGGCATCATTTTCCCACTAATACTATAGTGGCATTAACACAAGCTAAGAGCATTCAGGAAATCTTGAATCCCTTCAAAACCTTTTTATACAATAATATTTTTAGTCCTTACAACATGGCTGCATGACAATGTCTAATATTATTTCCACTTGGAAGTGGAGGAACCATATGCAGGGAAGTTAAATAGAAAATTGCTGAAGGAAACAGCACTTGTCACTTGTACAGTTGGGATTTAAAAGCTGACTCTATAATCTTAATTTCTTTTTTTAAATTAATTTTTTAAATTTTATTTGCATTGGTGTTTTGCCTTCATGAATGTCTGTGTGAGGGTGTCAGATCCTGAAGTTACCAACAGTTGTTAGCTGCCATGTGGGTGCTTAGAACTGAACCCAAGTCCTCTGGAAGAGCAGTAAGTGCTGTTAACCACTGAGCCATCTCTCCAGCCCCATGATCTTAATTTCTATGGTATGCTATCTTATAAAGAAAAACCTCATTATACACTAACTTTGGTGTTTCTATCACATTTTAAAAAATAAGCTGTAAACATTGTGAAAACATCCCTACTCACCTGACTATCACTGTTACTTACTGTGCTGCATGCTTTTATGTCAACTTGACACAAGCTAAAGTTGGAACCTCAATAAGAAAGTTCCTCCATGAGAGCAGGCTGTAGGCAAACCCTTAGAGCATTTTCTTAATTAGTAACTATGGGGAGAGGGCCAGGTTCATTGAGGGTGGGGCCTTCTCTGGGCAGGAGGTTCTGTGTTCTGTAAGAAAGCAGGCTGCCTGTAAATCACATTTATTATGCTTTAGGTATGTCCTAGTATCCCTGATCTCTCCAATGCTTTTACAATGAAGGGGTGTTGGATTTCTCAAAGGCTTTTTCAGCATCTAATGAGATGATCATGTGGTTTTCTTTTTTCAGTTTGTTTATATGGTAGATTACATTGGCAGATTTCCATATGTTGAACCTTCCTTGCATCTCTGGGATGAAACCTACTTGATTATAGGGGATGATCTTTTTGATGTGCTCTTGGATTCAGTTTGTGAGAATTTTACTAAATATTTCCGCATCTCTGTACATGAGGGAGATTGGTGTGTAATTCTCTTTCTTTGTTGAGTCTATGTTTGGACACACTGAACCTGACAGAAGAAACAGTGGGGAAGAGCCTTGACTGCACTGGCACAGGAGACAACTTCCTGAACATAACACCAAAAGTGCAAGCACTAAGACCAACAATTAATAAATGGGACCTCATGAAACTGAAAAGTTTTTGTAAGATAAAGAATGCTGTCAATAGAACAAAATAGCAGCCCACAGAATGGGAAAGGATTTTCATCAGCTTCACATCTTACAGAGGGCTAGTATCCAAAATATATAAAGAACTAAAGACACTAGACATCAACAAACCAAATCATCCAATCAAACAATAGGGTACAGACCTAAACAGAGAACTCAAAATACAGGAATCTCAAATGAATGAGAAACACTTAACACCTTTAACCATCAGGGAAATGCAAATCAAAACGACTCTGACATACCATCTAACACCTGTCTGAATGGCTAAGATCAAAAACAAAAGTGAAAACTCATGCTGGGGAGGATGTGGAGCAAGGAACTCTCCTCCATTGCTTGTGGGAATGCAAATTGTACAGCCACTTTGGAATTCAATATGGCGGTTTCTCAGAAAATTGGGAATCAATCCATTTCAGGATCCAGCTATATCAGTCTTGGGCATATACCCAAAGGACACTTCATCCTACCACAAGGACACTAGCTCAACTATGTTCATAGCATCTTTATTCATAATAGCCAGAAACTGGAAACAACCTAGATGTCCCTCAACCAAATAAGGGATAAAGAAAATGTGGTACATTTACACAATAGAGTATTACTCAATTGTAAAAAACAACAGGCACCAGGAAATGTAGGAAAATGGACAAAATTAGAAAAAAAAAAATCATTCTGAGCAAAGTACCCCAGACCCTCAAAGACAAACATGGTATGTACTCATTTGTAAGTGGATATTAGCTGTTTACTAAAAGATAACCATGCAATGGTCCACAGACGTAGAGAGGCTAAGTAAAAAGAAAGGCCTACAAGCTGGGCAGAAGGGAAGAATCTCCCTGGGAAGGGGAAATGGAACAAATTTTACAGGTGAATTAGGGGCTGGTGGGGTTGGGAACAGGAGGGATTAGGTGGGTCAGGAAAGGGAGAAAATACTGAGAGAAACTATTGGAATAAAGGGGCATGTTAGGGGCAAGGTAGAAACCTGGTACAACAGAAACTCCATGGAATCTACGAGAGTAACCCTAGCAAAGACTCTTAGTAATAGGGAACACAGATACTGAAATGGCCATATTCAGTAAATAGGAAGGGCCTCAATTGAGACACCAATCCAGTCACACAACTTTCACCCTACAGTTTGTCCTGCCTGCAGAGTGTTCTGAGACCAGAGCTTAGCAGAATCCTCATCAAAGAGACCAGAGTGACTTCATCTAGCAACTGGGGAAGCAGATGCCGAGTCCCACAGCCAGACATTAGGTGGAGCTTGGGGAGTCCTGGGGAGGGCAAGGGAGGATCAGAGGAACCAGAGGACTCAGGGACACCGAGAACACACCCCACAGAATCAATTAACTTATGAGGGCTTGCTGAGAACAGGGAGCTTGTGAGGGTCTGATCTAGGCTCTCTCCACAGATGTCATGGCGGAGTAGCTTGGTGTTCTTGTGGGATTCCAAATAGTGGGAGCAGGGGCTGTCTCTGAGTCTTTTGCCTACTTATGAGATGGTTTTCCTCCTAGTGGGTCGTCTTGTCCAGGGTTGATATGATGGTATGTGTCTGTTCTGATTATGGCATATTATGCCATGTTTGGGTGATGTCTCTGGGAGGCCTGCTCTGTTCTGAGGGGAGATGGAATGGGGATGGACCTGGGGGAAAGAGGAGGTGGGGAAGAGACTGGGGAGGGGAGGGAGGAGAAACTGTAGTTGGCACATAAAGTATGAAAAAATCAAGGAAAAAAGCAGCCTGAGAATTCAAGCCATGATCAGCAAGCCAGTAAGCAGCACCCCCCATGGTCTCTGCATCAGTTCCTGCCTCCAGGTCGCTGTCCTCTTTGAGTTCCAGTCCTGATGTCCTTCCATGATGGACTACAATGCAGAAGCGTAGGTCAAAGAAACCCTTTCCTTCCCAACTTGTGCTTTTGTCATGGTGTTTCATCACAGCAATAGAAACCCCAACCAAGACACACATATACCCACTGATTTACCTATTTCTAAGTATATTTAAATTTTAAGTTACTTTTTATTTATTTGTGTGTGTACCTGTGTAGGTGGGCACAGCATGTTGTATGTGTGAGATCAGAGGACAATTTCTGGGAGGTGGTCTCTCCTT